ACATTTATATTTATTTATTGGCCCATTTTTTCCCTTCACTTGAAAGGACGCTGGAGTGTCTCCCAATGACACAGAAATGCAGAAAGACAGCAAAAGCACCAGACGTTGAACTAGTTCCCTCGACTCTCTTTGGGGAAAAACAAGCAAATTCGCTACAAACGTATGCAACCACAACTCAAACATTAATTAAAAAAAATTATTTAAAATAAACTAAAAATTTGGAGGTCACACTATACTGACTGTATACGAGGAGACCGCCAATTTTAAAAGGGATAAAACAATATGGTATGTTGATTGCTGTAACAAAAACCCTAAAAATCTGTTAGAAAGTTGCACGTATGCCTGTTGTGCTCCTAGCACACTGTATTCTCTGTGAGAGTTCTCTCAGGGAGAGTAAGAGGAACAATTTCTTATTTATTTTTCAATAAACACAGTGCAAACAGGCTGGATTCGTAACACTCCCTGCTTGCAGATATCACTATCCAGCCCTTTCTCCTCCATCTCACAGCCCAGATTTACTCCGAGGCCACTCCTATATGGCTTTTAACAATATTTCACAATTCTCTGCTGGTTTACTCCAGCTTGTCCAGATGAGCTTGGTCCTGCCAACTCATCAGCCACTGCTTTTCCTGCTCTTCCCACCAATTTAGGTCTTTCTGGGAGACAGCTGGAGCTGAAGCAACCCAGGGCACCACAAGCCACTGGAGCTTCCTACAGCCAGACTAAGAAAAAGAGCTTTGGAAATCTTACGAGGAGGCTTTAAAATCATATCCCCAGGGCCAGAACTCCAGTACTGAGTCCTGTAACCTTTACTTTTGCAATGCTACTGCACGTAGTGTTCTTTATTTGTGCGGAATGCTGTCAATGAAGGTGTTTTCTAATTATTCTGAGGCAAAACGTGCCATAATTTAGACCTTAAAGGAGAGCCCTATGTCAGTAAATAAGTGGGGAGGTGGATTGGCCACTCATAATCTCTCAACTGGGATTGGAGTTAATCTAGGTTTTGGTCTGACCAATGCACTTAGCACAGATAATCCCTGTTGTTATAAAGAGCTAAGTTTGGTATCTCCCATTGAACAGCTGGGAGCGGATGACTAAAGGGCTTTTAGGTCAAGACTCCTGGAGATACTCATGAATTCTGGGCAAAGCATTTGAACGAGTTTCCTATGGGACAGTTTGCTCTGACGCAGAAGAAAAAGCCCTGACCTTTCTGTATTACCTGGTCTGCCTCGGGGGCTACTTTCTATAAAACGAAGCCCTGGCTTTTCATCACACACAGCAGCACACACTGGTCTCCTCAGATGCATTCACAATCCTCAGCAGCATCAAAATGAAGCCCACAGACTTCAAGCATGTTTCTAGGCTCTCTTCAGAAAACCAGAGCAGAGAATAGCATCTTTCAGAGTAGAAACACCTACCTATCATCTGAGCAATCGTCTTCTCATATTCTGAAACTATTTTCCTATAAGAGGGAAAAAAAAAAAAAAGAAAAGCTTTTGGCAAACATCATAATTACTAATGCTTACTTAGAAAATAATGCTACCCAATAACTGAACTATGGTATTTTAAATGAGATACAGAATCCCTTCACACTTTTATGTGCTCCTTATTACCTGAGTAACAAATAAAACTGACAGTTTAAACATTGCACCTGATTTTTAGTTCTCTGTGTAAATCAATACAAGTGGGGGGAGGGAAAAGGGAAACAAATTCTGTTATTTGAAACTTGCCCAAAGTACATTACCAATCGTGACTTAAGAGTTACAAACTCTAATTTTTCCAATACTTTCTACCCTCTTCTCCATGTTTGTGCTTACTTATTTTTAATGTAAATGTCAAGTAAAGTTATAATTGGTAGCAAGTAAACCTAACAGGAGCATAGTTGGCCCTCATCCAAAATATATCTAATCTTCCACTCTCCAAATCTGACTAAATGATCATTAGCACTTAAGATAACAGAATAAAATATTCAATTATGTAGCACAAAATCCATCGTGCCCTATTTCCCAACTCTCTTTTTCAAACAGAGGTGACAAAATGTTACTTTTAAGACCACTTTATTTCATATACTCACGGTAGGCTTTGAATTTCCTTCTTGAAAAGAGGTTAGCCAAAATAAGCAGATTAAATGTGATTTAGAAAGATGATCCGTCCCTTTCCAGGGCCAAATAAAGCTAATGAAATGAGACCAGCTTGATCTGTGCTTTGATTCATGAGCCATATAGGACTGCCTAAAAAAACCCAAGATTTCCCTGCACTTCATCTGAAGTGGATATTCAAAATAGCCCCCTTGTATTTGAAAATGTCTCTTTTGAAGCCTCAGCTTGCTTTCACTTGCTCCATTTTAGATAAGTCTGCTGCACTGGGTGAGGTTACAGAAGGGATGTGGGAAAACCCTGGGAAAAAAAGTCAGTGGGGAACAAAGAAACTCATGGAGCACCCAAAAACCAAATGCAGTAACTCCAGCACCTCCCATCTCAAATCTGAACCACAAACAGAGCCCAGAAAGGCCTGAGAAAGCCCCCTGCCCCAAAGGGCTGTAGCACCTCACTTGCCCTGGTCCTTCAGAGCACTCAGCAGAGCAGGGGGCTTCCAGCTGCGCACCCCCTGACTTTGCTCGGGCTTCAGGTCGAAACAACATTTTTTGGGACAGGAGCCAGACCCCATCTCTGCACAGCTTGCCATGCCTCCAGCTGCTGCCTCCACTGGGATCTGCTCGGATGCTGCCTTCCCTGCTGCCAGTACTGTAGCTTTCATTGGCTTTTTTCTTTTTCTTTTTTTTTTAACCATAAATTATACTTTTGAGACCAAAGCTAGCAGCAAGGAGTTTCCCCTAAAAGGAAGGGATTGGTTTCATGTCCAAAGCAGATTACCTCCAAAGCCTGCTGTAAGCAATAAGGATTTTAAAGCCATGTCATATCCTGGTAACAACAGGCACCTCTAGGAAGTTTTACCATCCTGGAAAATGAAGCCAAAGGCTCAGGGCAACAAACACGACATTAAACACAACAGCACTTCCCAGCCTAGGCTGCACCATGGAAGCTGGCAGCAAAGTGAAATAATATTATTTTCTATTTCTGATTTTTACCAGTTCAGACTAGTCCAAGCAGGTCCCACATTCTCTGCAGTATCCAGCCTTATGTGTCAGCTGTTGAGCAGAAGCGCGTAGTGCAATGGCACATTGATTTTAATAATGTTCAATTTGGAAAGCAAGGCAGTTAAGTGAAGTCTTGTTCCAGACTCATGTCAAGGGTACCTTTCAGTCAAGTAGCCTAAATCACAGTCATTACAGCTGGGGAACCAAAGATGCTGGCCACATCGTTCCTCTCTGTGATGGCACACCTCAACCCAACCTTGACGTGCTGCGTCGGCTTAACATTTGGTATTTAAGATTTTCAGGCTATTTATTGACTTCCTGCAATTTCATAAGTCATAAAAACACCAAAATCCAGGGCAACAAAATATCTCAGAGGTCATCTGCTTGACTTCCCTTACTGAGGCACAATCAATCAGACCTCTAAATAACCACAGTTAAATATTTATTGCCTGTCTCTGGTTGTACCCTTGGATTATGGTATAGCCCACCCTGCTCTAGCTCTTTAATAGTTATTACATTATTACAACTTCTCATCTTGGCTACTATTCTCTGGAGTGGAATTTCCTCCAGTCTGATGTTTTTCTGGAAACTTGGCTGAACTCGGGATATTCCAGGTGGAGTCACAGGACTTCAGTAAAGAAACATTGCTTCTCCTTCTGTGGTAAGTGATGCTTTTGTGCTTGCAACTCTAGATAATCCCTTCACTCCTTGCTTATCATTGTATCATATCTAATTGCTGCATCTCATGGACTGTTTCAACATTTAATCTTCCAAGAGAAACTCTTCTTTGTGCACACATGAATATTTTATCTTTTTGTCACAATATTAGTCAGATCCTTTTTTCATGCATGTGTTCTAGGGATGTGCCTGTGAGAAATTTGGCTTAGATGATGTGGATTTTTTTCAAATCAAATTTTCTCGAGGGCATAGACACATAAGCAAATGAGGAAGACAAAGGTAGAGATCTAGAGTGTGCCAGCTTCTCTGTGTCACCCTCTGCTCCCCTTTCATTAAGGAATACCGAACCTCTGCCAGTGCCCATCTGCAGCAGGCAGGCGCGTGCACCCAGGCAGTTCGTACAGAATAGACCAAGCACCGCACTCGAGCATGTGCCAAACACTGGGACATTCCTTACACAATCCCTAATTTTGTTCGTTCCTTGTTTTGCTTCCTAGGTCTGACTGCTTGCTTGCTCCTTTCCTTTTTGCCTCATTATGCATTTGCGAGCTATGCCAGGGTTTTGTTTCCTTTCCCAAGCAGAGCACAGAGGTTAGAGATCTCAGCTGGGCACCAGGAGATGTTTTTTTCTGAAATAAAGCAGCTGCCCTTGCCTTTTGCAGATGCCTCTCTTAAGATGCTTTGGCTGAACGCCCTGTGCTGCTGCTATTCAAACCTGCCATGTGTGACTCCTGGCATCCATGCTAGCGTTTGCCGAGTTCTGTGCTGTGGTTCCCTTTCACCCTTAAGTCCATTTTTCCTGGATATAAGCAGGAATTGCGTATGCAGCTCATCAGCTGATACAGCTCATTTGCTTTAGCTTTAAACCACTGAGACATTTAATTCTGAAAAGAAGGTGGTGCTGGAACAGAAGTGATTTTGGAGAAAATTACTTAAGCAGATTGCAGAAACTTTTACTTAAAAGAAGGATGCTCAAATAATCTGACAGTTTCCTTTTATTTATGAGGTTTTTTTTTCTGTCTGTTTGGAGGTAGAAAATAATAGGCTTTAAAGACTCCATGAAATATTTTTATACGTTCTCTTTTGCAATTGACTTTCTCAGATTCAGATTGATTAGCAGGTCAAGCTCATCTGTAAGTGGTTCTTATGTTATTACCACTGTAAAAAAAAAAGAAAGGCTGAAACTTTCAACTCACTAAATGGGAAGGAACAGTGATTCTTTGAGCAACAACCCTCACCTTATCCACCACAGTGATTTTGTTGTCACCCTTGCAAGTGGTAGGACTCGAGCAGGGAAGCCAGTCATGTTCCAGTATACAGATATTTCATGTAACAGAGGTAGGTTTGCAAGGAGAAATAGAATATATTCCAACAACAGATACAACTAGAAGAAACTGAAAAGCTCAGGGTCCTTCCATCAGCTCTCAAACAGAGCAGCAAAAAACAAATTGCTTAAATGAAATCAAGCTTAGTGTGTGCAAGAATTGAAAAATTATCTCAGTTCAAAGAAAAGGGTGCAGAATCTCCTTGAAAGTCAATACGGAGAGGCCAGAGTGGTTCCTTTGCAAGAAGAGTTTTCCTACTTGCAGCTGGAGTTTGTTTTCTACTGTTACAGAAACTTTTTACAATAACCTCCTGGAAAAGCCTGTACTACTCAGACTTATCTGCAAACCTTCACATTCTTCCATCTGTTGGCAAAACTCTTTGTGAATAGTCAATTATACATTAGCACGTGCACACCTCTGCCAGCTCTGCAGGCAGGGTCAGTTCAGTTCAGAAACATCACTATGCAATCCACGTGAGAATTCACAAACAAACTGGAGGAAATTCTTCCCCTACATTAACCTAGGTTAAGACTCCTCTTATCTCAGTATTTTGAAGATGTAAATGACATTAGCAACACAGAAGTTTTCTGTGATTACCCTGAACAGAGGTGCCCACCATGCAGAGCAAAGACAAAATATCAGTTTTGGAAGCCTGCAGTTAAAAATAACTAAACAAATTCAGATAACCCAAAGCGTTGTGCAGTCACGGTACTCTGCGCACTATCCACAGCTGACATGAGACTCTCTGTCAGTGTGATCAGTGACAAGTTAGTAACCCACCTCATTTCCATCACTTCCCTTCTGCTTTCTTCATATTTCTCTTTCCACTCAGATACTTCCCTTTCCTTGGCCACAATCTGAAATAAAGAAAGCAAAGGGGGGAAAAAAAAAAAAAGTTAAACCAAGTGATCCACTAAAGAGAAAATTAAGTGTACAATATTTGAGTTAATATCAATGTGCATTAAGAAAAGTATAGTTTTCAAATCCATAACGGTTTCAAATATAAGCATACCCAGTGATTTTTTTTTTTTAATTTTTCAGACTATAAGGTGCAATTTAGAAAGTTTGGATGTGCAATCATACTCAAGTGTTGAAAAGCTAACTTAGGAGAGTAGATGCAATATTCTTGTTCCATGTTTCACTCCTGATCATAACAGGGACACTTTTCAGGAAATGCTATATTCCAGTACACTTTGGTTGGACCTGCTGTCAAACCTGAAATATTTCTGCACATGGTCCCATAGTTTGTGTTCTAAGGGGGTTCTACTGCTTCTACATGCACATTTAGGGCTGACTGTCCATGAAATTTTGTACCCAAAGGACTGTGTTCCTTTGTGCTCCTTTCATTCACACAACCTACCATAAAGTTTGGAATATTTTAACATTAGATCATACCCGGTTTTTAACTGTCATATATCTTATATGTAGTTTTGTAAAATACATAATTTTATTCCTATTTCTAGCATCTTACAATTTTTATATAATTATATAGGAATGTCACGATGCACAGAGTACAGTCAAGGTTAAAAACAAAAAAAAAATATTTATTTTCATGTAACGTCTGCTTTTCACTTATGTCAAAAAAAGTAAAACACAGTTTAGCACCTTTTGCTTTGGTAGCCTTTAATGTGGCTTTAGCATGGTTGAGGAGAGTTTCAAGAATAGAACAAATGTTCGTAATATGAATCATTTGGGAGAAAACAGTAAAGAAGTAAACCACAAGGGGCACCTATTTCCTTTTCCAAATTCTGAAGAAAATTACCTCCGTTCTGGCGAGTCTTAGTGCAGAGTCTACGTCTTGCTGGGGGTAGAGAAGACCCGTGGTGCTTTCTGCATCCGAGGTGCCCATCTGGGAGTACAGTGCGCTTTTAGAGATGGAAACATCTGCTGGGATAGCAGGTTCTCTCTGTGTGTTTGTTTTTTTAAATACAAAGAAATGAACCATTAAATAAGTGTTTAGCTACTGTGTTTTCTGGGTGTAGTGCTAGGCACCAGGGTCCTGAGCTAGGACTAGAATCCTGTGTGCCACTAAATTATAACAGCAATAATACTGACAAGGAACTTCGAATTTAGCAATCACAAAATACAGATGTAAGATCCACTGTAAGCATGAAGAAAGCCACACTACCCCTATAGAAAGAATATAAAGACAGCACTTTGCTGCCAATATTTTAGAGTCCTGTATTAGAAAATGTACTACTTTCTGCTGCAGAAATTTCATCAAAACATCCACAATAAATGCATGTAAGCAGAGGAAATTAGAATTGGAGGTAGGGAGCATGTTAAGGGGAATTCTCCTTCCATAAAAATAGCTCAAGAAAACAGAAGCGAGAGGACAGCTCACTTTCTTAGGTCTGAGCTGCCAATATACTGCATTTATCATAACCAGTATTTAATAAAAAAGCATAAATATCATATAGAATCATAGAATATACAGGTGACGTTGCTGCCCCACTGGCATCTAGCATGCGATTAGTAAGTTAAATGAGGCTTTATTTGCAGCTGCCCATTTTGCTCATGTCAGCAACCCAGATTAACTCGGGAGGAGAGTAGCACGCGAAACGAGGAAGGGAGCAAAAAAAGAGGCATGTGACACTGAGATGCAATGTCTTGCAACCAACACTCTCAGTATAAACAACTCAAGTTACAGCCCATTAAATTCAAGGAGATTTAAAAAGACAGTTAGGGAGATGCTAAACAAAATACCCCACATTTTTCAATATCATGCATTTGGATTTCTATGTTTTCATGCCTGAGCAGCACCATACTCTTCCCAAGCTTCTATACCCCAGCACCTCTCCCCTGCACTTTTTCCCTTGCAGCAACCACTGAGCAGACCCCCTACCACAGCTGTGTGTCCCCATGTCCCCTACCAACACTGCGTCTCGTCATCAACCAACACACACATGTGCTGAGTGGGTCACTAAATAGTTTTGGGGGTGGAGGTGACCATACCCCTATTGTTGGTGTTTAATGTTCCATTCTGCTGTTAAATATGCACGAACTGGCCCAAGGAACCAGATTTATTGGGGAGGGGGAAAAGAGGGCCAGACAGTACAGACACCACAGCCATCACCAAAACACTGCTTCCTTACAACACGGGACTAAAATAGGCTGGGGATTTATTCCATAAATCATTCACCTGCTCACAGCTCTTCTTGCATAGCCTAGAATAATGGAAAGGATCCAAACCCGCTGTAAATTTTGTTGCAATCCCTCCCAAGTTCTCACATCACACCTTATTGAAGAAGCTATATTAAAAATTGCATACAACGCTCACTCGAGATAAACTCAGGAACAGATGTTCTGGATATCGCATCTGCAGACAACATGAAGAAACCACACCAGCTACATTAGAAGATGAGGCAAGAAAATTTAACTAGAACGAGAATAAGCTAAACAGTATTTACAAAACGCCATCTTTATTTATGTAAGAGACTCTCACTAATTAGCTCTGTATTTTTTGCTCATTTTTAAACACAGGAGTCAATTGACTATTCTAGCATTTATGGAGCAGGCCATCGCTTCTCTTTTTTGCCACCTTTAACCATGAACATACAAAATAACGATGGATGCCAACATAATGAGGAGGTGCAACCTCAAATCCAGTGGATTCTCCTACCTGAGCAAGAAGCATCACAACATCTATCAAAATTACATAGCCTGTATTTTGAAAGTATCTCCCAATACACAACAACTAGGCAGGAAAAAATACAACTGGGACACAAACTCAGGCATCTGTGTAAACGCACAAATAGAAAAACACGTGGTGCTACCCATGGATCTGAGTCAAGGTAAAACAGCCAATAAATGTGACTACTGCTGGCTCTACTCAGTGTCACAACTTCAAAAAAAAAATGTACTTTAGCTCCTCCTCAAACATGAGGCAAGAAAAAACAAGAGATAAAAAAGAGCCATTAGATCATCAAAGCTACCCTCAAAAGAAACGCCGTCCTGCAGATCAATCTGTTGCGCTGCCTGTATCACATTTCAAAAGCCTCCTGCAGCTTCATTTGCTGGATGTCATGAAGAGATTGCTGGAAAATATTAATTGTGGCAAAAGGAACACGAATTTCCTTAAGATCACAAAAAATGTGTCAAAGTAACTGCCAGGATGAGGAAAATTTTTAAGGAAAAAATAACATTTAAAGCATTTAATACCGACTTACGCACTTTTTTACGTAGTGCTCAACACATCACTAATATAACTCTGGTTTCTCTAGTTCTCTCTTGCATTTGAGTAAACTGTACAAAAAACCAGTAATAATGACAAGCAAAACAATTAAATTTAAAATTTCCAAAAACTATTGTAGAAACTCTTGGAATTTAACCATTGAGCAGAAATACTTGTAGTAGTGGTCTGACCAGTCTTGTCCTAACTCTGGAAACACCTCACACCAGTCACAACTGGGCTGCTGGGTTCTCTCTTTGGGAGGAGCAATCAGTATAAATCTTCACGGTTTTATTTCAAAAGCCAAATTTACAGATCTGCAATCTGATGTACAATTCAGTAACTGTTATTTGCTGCCTCCAACTGTTCCTATCCTGAGAAAATAATATAAACTGACCAACAGGAAGACAGTACTACCCAAAATCATAGAATCATAGAATCACAGAATGGTTTGGGTTGGAAAGGACCTAAAAGATCATCAAGTCCCACCCCCCTGCCATGGGCAGGGACACCTCCCACTAGCCCAGGTTGCCCAAAGCCTCATCCAGCCTGGCCTTGAACCCCTCCAGGGATGGGGCATCCACAGCTTCCCTGGGCAACCTGGGCCACTGCCTCACCCCCCGCACAGTGAAAAATTTCTTCCTAATGTCTACTCTAAATTTACCTTCTTTCAGCTTATACCCGTTACCCCTTGTCCCCTCACTCCACTCCCTGATGCAGAGTGCCTCCCCATCTCTCCTGTAGCCCCCTTCAGGTACTGGAAGGCTGCTATTAAGTCTCCCTGGAGCCTTCTCTTCTCCAGGCTGAACAACCCCAACTCTCTCAGCCTGTCCTCACAGGGGAGGTGCTCCAGCCCTCTGATTAATTTTGTGGCTCTCCTCTGGACTCTCTCCAACAGGTCCAGGTCTTTTTTATGTTGGGGGCCCCACATCTGAACACAGTACTCCAGGTGGGGTCTCACGAGAGCAGAGCAGAGGGGGAGAATCACCTCCTTCGACCTCCTGCTAACGCTTCTTTTGATGCAGCCCAGGACACGGTTGGTTTCTGGGCTGCAAGCGCACGTTATCGGCTCGTGTTCAACTTCTCAACCACCAATACCCCCAAGTCCTTCTCCTCAGGGCTGCTCTCTGTCCACTCTGTCAATAACTCTGTCGATGCTCTAAGTTCAAGGCCCAACTGCTGAGAAGGTAAGCAGTTAATTGGGGCAATAATAAGCGCAGGGATTTGTAAGTCACTGAACCTCGCACAGAAAGATTTGAGTCTGCAGGAGAGTTAACAGCTAAATGTAGGTCACTGCAATCTTAGCGTAAATATTTGAGAACCCAACGCGCTTCATCTCCCTTCCCAGCAGCTTTTACAGAAACCAGATATCTGACCAGAAAGGGAATAAATGCACATTGATTAACCAGCTGCATTCCTCTCACTTCACGAAAGTTGAAGTGAAAGAAAAGAGAAAAAGGTACTGCAATAAAAAATGAAAACTATTTTTTATTATACTGTTTAGAGGAATATGTACTTAGCCCTGCTGAAAATTGTCTTTCCTTTACAAGCATTCCAGTACTGCTTGGGTGCGTATCAAATGAGCTACTCTTTTAACTAATTGATGGGTGTGCAGACAGGTCAATGAAGGCAAAACAAGACCTACTTGTTCTTGCAAATATACTGAAAAGCAAGTAAAATCCAAGCATAAGTTATCTGCTTGTAAAGTTTTACATGAAAAAATGGTATCCTTGTTTGAAGGAAATATTCCTCCTTGGCTACCACGAGAGCCCCCCAAAGCCCTGGTGCACTAATCACATCTGTGCCGATGCCTTTCCTTTCAGTTTTGCTCTTTTTTCTCAGATCTTACTTCAACACCCAACTCTACATCACCTCAGCATCTGTAGGGTGGGGGACACAAACCGTATCAGCTTTCTGTTCATGTTGTATCTATTAAAAAATGGCCACAGGACATCCTAATATAGATTGTTTAATAGAGAAGTATTAATTCATCTCAACACTGAAGACAGAAATTCTTGGCAATGTAAAAACAGACGAATAGTCCTGCTGTTGTTGAAGTCTGGGACGAGAAGTTTGGGAGTGGCCAAATAACTTCCCTCTGTCTGAGAGCAACATTTTCTGTCCTAGCAGCAAATGCTTGTATTTACATCTTTATTTCAGGTGACCTAACTTGCCATAACAAGTGCTTGTGTCTTTATTTAGCATGCTGTTCTTGTTACCCATCCTGCAACGCTTCAGCAAATGTTAAATGTAATTATGCAACATTAAGAAAAGAACTGTGGCCAGCCAACCAGAAGCAAATTCTGCCAGTCAGTATCCGAATTTAAGTCACCGCAGTCGTCTGGGGGATCCTATTATACTTAATCCAGGCCATCGGTGGCTGTAGGTCACGAGGGTTGCCATCACAGGCTAATTTAACACCAGCAGCCTCCCACGGATATAGTAAAGTTATGCAAGGACAAAAGTGACACACACAGTATTTGTCTAAAAGCGTTCCTATGACTGCACTAACACGGGGCTTTGTGAACTCCAAAATGCATTTGCTAAGAGTTCACATGAAATCCATTCCCCGTTTCTAAGTTCTAAGGAGTTCATAAACTTGTTCTAGATAAAAGAAAATGCTGTCACGATGTTAAAAAGCATCTTTAAAATATAACTCCACACAATCAAAGGCATACTATAACATTTTTGCAGCTCAGAATCTTCCCTGGGTAACACACAACAATTCACAAACGTATGAACCTATTCTATTCAGTCTAAAATATCACAATTTGTGAGTTTCTGAATTGCTGGCTGGCAGCAAAAATACAGACGTCTAACAGAATTTTTTTGTATAGCCTGTGAAGAGCATCTCGGTATTATTATGTGCTTCATCTCAAGTGTCTCCCAGGTGCTGGAGAGCCTGACTGCTGCACGTCACAGCAAAGTGCTGGGAGGACAAGGAGGCAGAGAGAGAATAAGGAGGTTGAGAGGACTGAGAAAGGATCCCACCTCACCCTCTTCTGACACTCGTCACCCCGGGCAAAGGAGCAAGGGGACACAGTCACACACGGGCTAGTACTCCAACATTTACTTATTTTTTCACTCCTTTAATTAGAAGGTTAATCTTGGTTTCTAATGAAGACAATGGGATGTTTTGCTTGATTAAATAAAAGATTACAGACACATACTGTAAAACACCCACAAATCTGTAAGGAATGAGCTCACTTCAGGAAGTATATGTGCACCATGGAAACAGCTGGCTCCTGGGCTATTTAAAGTAAGCAAAATAAATCAAATATAATGATTATTTTTTCATAAAAGTACAGTTCATAAAAAAAATCTTTACTTTTATGAACTAGCTGCTTTATGACTGACCTTTAAAGCACCAAGAAATTCTACCCTATAACCAGCCCAAACGTTGTTATGATGTAGGACCAGGCAAAAGACTTATTAATGGACAGTATAAGAAGAAAAACATCACTGGAGAAGGACACATCAGAAGTATGTTCTCCTCATTTGGAATAAAATGTCCCACTGCAACAGGACACTGCAATCCCGTCAGCATCCCGTTCATCTGATAGCACCTCCCAACAAAGCCACTCACATTTCTGGCTTGATTCTTTTGTTAAAAGTACCATGAAGAGCACAAAAAACTGGCCGTGCAGCTGGCTAACCATCAAACCCAGCGCACCAGAGCAAGCTTCTCCATCCCATTCCAACCACAGCGAGGACCGCGTGCATCCCTAGAGCAGCACAAAGCATCACTCTGAGGCGGAGCACAACAGAGAAGAAGCAATATAAAAAAAAGCTTCAGATCTTCATGAAAAAAAGACACATTGTGCTGGGAGGTCTTTTTCCCCTGGGGAGCTCTACTGCCCTTCTAAACCAGCTGTAGTCCCTTTCTTCAGAAGCCTGAAGGCAGGGTTGATTGAACTGCTCACTTTTAAACTTGAAAGGTCAAGGTGTCTGATTTCAAGCTGAAAATAACAAACAAAATGCCCCTACAGTCAAAATCTATAGTATCTTTATAAAAAGTAGGTTTGGTATTGTTTTGCCATCAAACATTTTAGGACAAATCTTGCTGTAGACGGAAGACAAATGGCCTCCTGATTGAAGAATCTGTCTCCTGCAAAACTTACGCGCCTACTTCTTGCCTTCAAAATTGCCCTTTGTTAATTTGGAGGTAGTGGCAGTCTCTGAGTGGAGCAGGTGGCAGCATTTCACGTGCAGCACCGCTTTCAGCATGCTCTTCGGTGTCACACCGAGGTGTGCACAGCTCCACACGGCGCCCTGAGAGCCCGAGTTACCGTGTTAAAGAAAAAAGCAGCGCTCGGTTCCTTAGTCTGTGCACACTCACACACGCACGGCAGGCACAAACCCAATACCTCGGAGCAGAAAGAAGACAGGGTAATCTGCCTGGCTAACTTCAGCGCTTCTATCCTCATCGCGGCAAACTCTAACTCCTCCTGTCAAGTGTTTGGTTGTGAGCAATCCACAGAAAAAAAATGTATTAAGAACATGGCAAAAATGTTTTAACGCATTCAAAAATGGAATGTTGGATTTTAATGTATAATTCTCACAAATCTTGGGTGACAAACACATCCTGTATTCCTTTAATGGCTAGAACACTGGTACAAAACTCCAGTTTTTGGCTAGTTTTGAGGCAGCTGTATAAACAAACAATTTTTATTAGGGGTAAGTATCAACACTACTTTGGGTAAAATAAATGGTTTGTGAAGCTAAAGCTGTTTTTCACGGACTGCTTTGGTTTTAATTTTATGTGAATTTACGCCAGCTGCTTCTCTCAATTCAACCTTGTTGTTTCAGAGTTTCACTATAAATATTCTAGAAAATATGTCCTGACACACAGAAAAGACTGCTCTGCACGTAAATTTGCTTTCCTTTGAAGAATACATGCCAAGTTCTGCATTAGACGGATTACCAGAAGAACTAAGCCTAATTTTAATTTCAGCAAAATTAGGACCTAAATGACTGAAAATGAATCTGTGCATACAGACCTACTAAGGCCAGGTATCAAGACAACTCTCCATACATCAAGTCCTACGTTCAAGGTTAAAAGATTTGCTTATAAAGACTTCTGCAAAATATATACATCAGTGGTATAGGATCGCTGAAAGCATTGATGAAATTTACGTTTCACTTTACGTATTATATGAATTAAATGAAAACATCTCTGTTCCTTAAGTTCCTGAAAGGCTCAAATTACTTTGGAAATAATCAAATAATTATTTTGCTTCTTTCCCACCTCCCTTCCAAGCCTCCCTCCAGCCCCTTTCAGATCAGGGGAAGCATTCCTCTGCTTGTGTACAGACAAACTTTAAAAGTGACATTTATATTTCTGCTACAAACCTGAAGTTTCTGAGCAAATACTGGGGGGTTCTTTTCTGCTAAGTCAGGATCTAGATATTCAGGCTGATCACATATTGAGGTTTTCTTAGATATCCTATTGAGGAGAGCATCAGCAGAGACAAAGGAGTCTTCAGGAGATGTCTGAAGGGTAAGGAGGATATAAAGTAAGCAACAGAGATTTTGCCCAAGTAGTTCAGGCCAAAAGCAACGTACCTATTTGCAAATCTTTGATTCCTAGTAATTTCATGCCTCACTGAAGATTACTTTTGAATACACGATTCATAGGTGTAACAGACAAACAAACAATTCTTCCTAATTTAAAAGCTGAGTAAATTTTCCAAGACTAACATGAAGTAAGTAATATTAGAACCTCTGAAACAATGCCTTTCAAACTATGGACCCCAGCCCACTTCTACAATAGTTTCAAGCAGTTACCATTGGTTTTGTCCATACAATAGCTTATGTTCAGTTCAGGCATCTCTAAGACAGTCCAAAAGCTTTGAAGACCACCAAAACTGAGGGGAACCTCAGCAAGTCTCTTTTTGCAGTCTATTTTATAAAGTATTTTCCTGCTTACTGGGGATAAACTAAGTTATGTTCATAATTAAAACAGGATCAAGAAAAATACACAGTATTAGAATGACAAAAGCAAGACTTCTGGGATTTGAGTACCCAGGACTCCCTGCAGTGAGAAAATATTCAAGCTCATAAAAAATATTTTGTGAGATGGTATCAACAGCATCATTAATAAACATTAAGCATATTATTAAAGTGAGCTGCTTCGTGCTTTGACTCCTCAGTAAATATATTATCATATAGCTTATCATGCCTAGTCCTGTCAGCATTTGTGAAACAAGTTTGCCTGGAAAAGCGGAGGCCTTGAAGGAACGATCATGAATTTGAGAGCCAACGCTCTGGTCTGTATGCAGCGCAGGTAGGAAGAAGCAAGGAAGTTAGAAGCTCACCACTAATTCAGATCCAACCCAGAGAAGCCACTGAAAAAAGTGATTTAACTGGAAGCTGGAATGAGTTCTAATGATCAAACAAGTGATTTTTACATTATCAGCATCAAATGACAACATGACAGTTAACAGTTTATATGAAAATGTGAAAGGGCACCTGTTCTGTACCAAAACCATTCTGAAATCTCACAGTACATGCAACAGAACAAATCATGTTTCTATGTTTATATAGACTCTACTATTTTATATATAAAATATCTCTTCAAATTTTGGGTTAAAGCACAGTGTAAAAGGCCTGTGTGAGGAAAAAAAAACCCACTTCAGAGATCACATTGGAATAAGTTACCGCAAGAACACGCTAAGCTACTGTAAGAATTCTGAAAATTCTTTCGAATTCCATCAGTTTCATCAAACTACATCCCTCATCTGCGTCCTATCGCACGCTGCTACCAAGACCTTTAAGTATCAGGTTGAGTTTTAGTCTGCTTTCAAGATCCACCTTCACTACCTCTTATTCGACATCAGACATTTCTGCAGTAAAACAATTCCTAAACTCTTATCATAAAGTACTTACTATTTCAATAGCCTCTGGAGTTGTTCCCAGGGTCATGGGCTCTAGATCTTTCTGCTTCAACTTGTCAGGCGACTGCAAGTGTGCCTCTTGGCTGGCAGCTAGGACTCGGGAAGCTGGATGTTGTATTTTTATTCCAGAGGATTGCTGCGGTTCAGGGTCTTCAAAACTTGACCTGGAAAGATTGTGTACATGCTTTCAGGTGGAGTATAAAGTCCTTACAATTCTGCTTCTGTCCTTTTAATTACTTTCATTACACTCATATATATACATAAACACACCACACACACGCATTGTTTCAACTCAACTTCATATCATTATATCTCACAACACTTTGCAATATCCTTTCAAAGCAATGCACTGGAGTAATCTCTAAACACAGCCAGTTCCACCAGAAATATTATGCACATTCCTTAAATATTTCTCACTTGCCTTTTTACCTCTTTCTCATTGTGACCTACATCTCTCCCAACAAACAACTTTTACTAACAAGAACAGATGTCCTTAACAAGCAACATTTTTGGAAGTAAATACAACCCCCACATCCTGTTCTTATGAACAAGACTCCTTGTTCAAAAAACGTATCTAGGAAAGGCCAAGTGAAAAGCTGCAATTAGGGAGATTTCTAGATTGATATGAAAATTACCTCAGTATTTGAGGAAAAAAAACCCTAAGCAGGAAGCCACAGTCTAGTGGAACAGTTGCCACTGTGACTCTCTTTAGTAAGAATGTGAGAAATATATGTCCTTATTCCTTCCCATCATAAAACTGCTGTATCTTTGCCCTCTGTTCACTAACATATGTGAACACAGATGGGAATCTATTTTTAAACAAACAACTCGGCAACACAGAGGCAGAGAGAGGAAAAATTGCCTGTGTATGTGTCCTGACGGTAACCCATTTCCCTGCCATCCTTTTCCATTGCTGAATTTGCTTGTGGTACCATACCCTGAGCACGGTGTTGTGGAATCAGACAGTCTGATGGGGGGCGATTTGACTGGGCTCTCCTGCTGCGCATCAAACATCAGGTACAAAGACTGTTTCTTCGGGGTGCTGTCATCCTGCTGGCAAGAGGAAAAGAAAGACTCATTAAGCAACTCAACTGTTCTCCATTAAAGCTAATGCAGGGCACTGAAGCTTTAAGTGACCAAATGACTTGGCAGAAAACTAATAATAGTAGGTACAATCTATGCTGATACTGAGATCATCCCTTTAAGGAGGAAACCATTAAAGAACAAAACCTGAACAGTCCACTCTTTGTAATGGCTCTTCTTCTCCCACTTTGGGGTTAATCAGTTTTCTGGTCCTGTCAGGCAGGAGGCAGCCCTTGACTGAAAGTGAGACTAAAATATTCATTGAAACCAATGTTACTCTCATCAGTTTCAGCACCTGACATACGTGTTTGATTTTTCCAGCTTCCCCTGTGCATATAGCCCCATTGGATCTAGTTAAGCTATCAAATCCATGAATTAAATAGAAGTAAGGCAAAACAACTGCTAATGTATAGTACTGCATTCCATATTTCACATATTCCTGATTCCCCCCATCTTCTTGAAAGTTTTACTCTCAGTTTCTTAAAATAGTTCAACAGTTGATGCAGGCAGCTTTGTACTCTACACTGCTGGAAATACTGATTTGCTTTTAATCTCCAGAAATAACTACTGTGATGCTAGTTTAAAAATAAAACAATAAAATGGAGTGAGTTCTACAGGATACGGGAAAACAAAGCACATGCAATTTACCCCAGTTATGCCAATTTAAAGGAACTGGTTTGGCAAATCTGCTGTGGGCACATTATAATTAATTTAAGAGGTAGTGAGGCTGATGGCAGTATAGAGATAGTATATTATGACAAGGGAATGCAAATGAATGGAAATGAAAGTGGGAACTTACAGGCACAGAGGAGCCTATTTTCTCCATATATTCTATTTCATATGAGTTGCCATATTCCAATTCTGGAACAAAAACAAAAAAAGAGCGATTAAATATACACCATGAAATTATTTTTGCATAAGATGAGATCTCATCTTACAAGGGCCACTCCCATTCTGCTCAATACTTTTCTACGAGGCATTAATAGAATATACAGAGAGAAAGCAGAAGGTGCACTGATTTTCAGCAATGAACTTCTGGCACATTTCAGGCAAGCTCATTTGCTTGAAAATTTCAGCTTTATCCATTTGCTAAAGATTCTGCCCCAAGAGCCACAATATTAGCAAAGTTTCAGAGAGCCTTCACAGCACAGATAACTTATCACAAAACCCACATTTTTTAATAACTGGTAATGCTGATACCAGTTTCCTCTAATGTACTTCATTGAGAAATGAAGTAATTTGTATTTCTTAATGTTTATCACACTATTTTTTAATTAAGAAGGACTACTGTGATATCAGTTAAGTTAAAAAGACACATAAAATACTCGTATGCTCGTTGAACAAGGACTGACACAGATTACTGGGCTGTTTTCGCATTTTAGTTAGAGAGGAAAAGCCTAAGGCAGGAAGATTTACAAAGAACCCTAAATCTAAACCCTAATAAAAATGCAAATCTTTACTACTTCTCTCCTTCCAACCTCCTAATTACACTGGAGGGAATAACCAACACTTCTTTCCAATCCATGGTTAGCCAGCAGTGAGCTGATACAGAGGTAGAGAGATAAACACAGCAAAATGGAAAAGAGAGCATACATTCCTGGTCCCAAAGAAAGCAAAGACTTTGTTCAATGACACTTTAATTTTAAAATAAAAAAAATAATTAGTTTGTCCTAATGCTGCATTTTACTCTGTTTCCATGAGTTAATTCAATAAACCATGTGTATAATTTCATTTCCATTATAGATAGGTTCTAATGAAGGACACACTAGCATTTCCATTATGATAAAAGCATGTGCTAAAATTCTGCTAGATTTAGGCAGCTTCTGAAAAGTAAGGCTTTTATCAAGAAGATGGGAACCATCACTGAAATGTTTCTTCTTGAAACACAAATGAACCCTAAAGATAATCTCTTCCCTGTTTTGTTAAAAAAAATAAAGTTTCAAAGGGTACAATGTGAGTTTACAACCCTCAATTTTTTTTTTTATAATAGAGTACAAGCAGTGTAATTCCACAAGACTATGTATGTTGACAAACAACCACCAAAGAGGAACAGCCACAAACTCTCACTGCCTGACATGTGTGAGAAATTAACAGTAAAACATCTAAACGAAGAGAATGCTCTAATAGCAGGCTCCTCACGTTTAAATCCCTAGCACCAGATGTTTTTAATGGTAATAGGGAGATGGGGAAGATAACGTCCTGGTATCAGATACGAGTTTCTTCCTAGTGAAAGCAAAAAAAAAAAAAAAAATAAACTGAAACAATGAGATTCCAGCCACCTCCTGGATGTGGCATTGAAAGAGAAACTATGAAATACAAGATAACAGCGCCCGGTGTTTAGTGGCTGCCTTTCTCTATTTCATCTTTCTACACAGAGCCCAATGAGGAGCATCATGGATGTTTATGAGTCAGCTTTACGACTCCAGAGAGCAATCAGCAAGTGAGTGTAGGAGCACACTCACGGGCAGCAGACGTACCGGCACTGTCCTCTGCTGGCACAGCTGACAGCAATCTTCTATCTGCCTGCGGGGCTGGTAACGGCTTTGCAATTGCAATCCAAACTGACTTTTGGGACAATATATATTTAACTTACTGATTTTAAAAAGGCAGAACACAGATGGAAATAGTTCAACTAGAAACAAAAGGAATAACATGGCTTGCTGAACGCAGTTTGTTTCGCCTCATTGCTCTCAGAAGTTTCCAGCATAATTAGGCTGTGTCCCCTCTCCTAGGTATCTCCCCTAAGACATCATCTCCCCTTCAAAATCTTAGGCTCAGGTTATCTCTATACATCCAAAAATCACAAATTCCCAGGATATCCTTTGAAGCAAGAAAATTATCTTTTATAAACACATACAACAGACTTACTAAGTGATGTCCTCCAACTCCTCCCACAAATAGCTGCAAGATTACATCAGAATTTTCTGCTAATAATTACTGCCTATTTCTGCTCTGTGCCACACGAAAATGGCAGCAGTTATAAGCAGCGCACGCAACAGATGAGAGCTGGATGTGTCGGCTGACTCAGTAGTTAGGCTGTATCCGTACAAAAGCCGTGTTAGGTTACAGGACAGCACTCATCCCACCATCTGAGAGGGGTAAAAATATTCACACTGAGAAACAGCCCTGGAATTACTCAAAAATTTCTCAGTGCCAAAGGAGCAAGACTGTCAAGGGAAAAAAAAAAATTATTATTTTTAAGAGATCTGAAAAGTGGAAGCATTGTTGATTATAATTAGCATGTAATCTGAAACTCCGACTATACCATGCAGCGCACATGAGACAAGGCAATTAGCATTTAATTAGGAGCTTTGCTCACTTTCTTCTACCCACTTTGAGAGCTAAAATGATTGCCTTAGAGTATCTCTCACTATTCTTTTGTTTCATTTCCTTCCATATAATTTCCATTTTCCCAGATTTGAGGAGCTTACTTTCTATAAAATATTTCTTTACATTATCTTTTTAATACAAATGAAGTGAAGCTGATCTCTAACATTTATATTTTGACAATAAAGCCAAATGGATTTATCCACACTGAAATATTTATCTGTACAGAAGACTCAACAGATTTCCAAAAAGCTCAATCCATGCAAACATACAAGCACATGCACATGAACATGTGCAGCCCCGTTAAAGCCATTGTGATTATTTGTGCCTTTAAATGTCAAACACATTTGACCTAAAGGCTTAGCAGGTCTTAATTAGGCAAAAACTTTTCAGACCCAGTCTAAAATGGCATAAAGTAGCTTTAATGGTAGATTGGGACACAGGTTGAAAGGTTAGGGGAAAAAACAAAAAATTCTGACCAAGAAGTAAAAGTTTAAGCCAAGTTAAACTCATACACTCTTCCCACCCACAAAGACGAAAATCTGCTCTTGGAGCAGATGTTACAAAGCAGTATTTCCTCTGGTAACCCCAAGGAAGGCCACACACAAATTTTCTAAATTCTGTCTCCTCCACATTTCGCAGACATGGAACGACAGTTATCTTACCAGAAACTTCCAGCTTTAGCTCACAGCTGCGTATAGGAAGGTATGACAGGAAAAAAAATCTTAATAAGATTATCTAGAAAGAAATTCTATCTGGCATGTGGATAACTATCTTATGCAGGGGATATCCTGGACATTTTTATGCATAGATACCTGGATCCCAGAAAGCTGGAGGAGAGAGGGTGTGTTAAGGCTCTTAATGCAATGCACAAACTTGGAGCAGAATTTTGACCTAGGACCTTCTCCCATTCACGTCAGAGGAACAGGCTCAGGCAAAATCAGTAGTTCGGTGACTCTGGATCCAAGAGCACTGAGAGTGGTATCAGACTCCAGTCTCGTGTGAAGGCACAGGGAGAACAGGCAGCACTCACAGAAAACACCATTTCTACAATTAGCCATGCAAGAGAAGCAAAAGCCCTTTTCATTCTCCTTTAAACTTCCTCTCTACTCTTTCATGAAAACTCAAGGTGGTACTCTTGGGGTCTTACATTCAGCTCCTTATAATCCCAAGTTCCCCAGACAGGTCTAAAGAGCACAATTTTTTAGGGTTCTCAAATAATACAGTTTGCACTCGGCAAAGTATATGCCAATATTCTCAAACGAACCAAAACCCTTCTCTCAATCGATACAACATCATCTGGATGTAGACAGTCCTTTATAAAGCCTACCCTCTGTAGGAGAGCTGAATTTAGTCTCGTTAACAAACGTAGACAGATCAGAGGGTTGTGGGTAATCCTGCTTGTCCATGTTCAGGTCCACAGTCATGCAGGTCCATTTCTGACTGGTCACTGAAGATGCCAGCTTCTCCTCATCTGTCGCGTGAACCACCGTGGATATGACGGGAGGAGTTTCTGGAGTAGGCAGTGGAGTGGGATCCTGCAGAAAACAAGCACCAATTAATTCTCTTATCTTTCGTTGACAGTTGCATAGTCAACTCGCTAAACTCCTCTGCATGACAGCAGTCATCTTCTTAATTCTGCACCCTTTACTGCAGCTCTGTATAAAATAATGAAATATTTTAAGGTACTTCATTAAGAACTCTATTGGCAGCAAGCTTTCCCAGGATAACTAAACTCTTTGATGATAAACACTCACATTGCAAAGCTGCCTTCATAACAACGAAGAAAGAAAATCCAGAGCCATTTAAATCTGTGAGGCAGTTGACACAAGTGGCACACATCACCCGTGACCGAAGCCTCTGACTACCAAAACTGACTTTTTAAGACTTCCCTCATGGGAGCAAGCCTTCGTAGGTCTGCGAGGTCATGAACCCTTTCTTCACTTCTAGGCTGACAGGCAGCATAAATAAAAAGGGAGGATGGGTAACAGGAAGGCGAACAGCAGCATGGAAGGAGCTGTGCCACATCAAAGCACCCAGGCCTTTGTACGCAGAACAGCTTTTGTTAACTTCTCTTCCAAGAAAACCAGCTGCCAGCAGTTCACAAGGAATAAAACCATCCAAGCACATGTTCCTGGTAGATCAGCCCACTTGTTTTACTTCTATTTCCCTTCCAGCCCACCAATTTCATACATTTAGTTTCTTTCTAATCTAAAAATTCCATGGTGGAGAGTTGTGTCTAGTTTTTCAGACAACCGATTGAAGATATTTATTCATATTGTTGCTCCATTGTAACAGAGGACTTTCCAAAGCACATTTACTAACAGTCTAACTGGAATTCCCAGAGCAAATACTACGTCTTAATATATGTTGTATACACGCTTCTAGAGACCAAAAGTTGAATACTTTGTGATTACAAGCCCAGTGTGCTATACCTGGACACAAGTATTCTTATATTCTTTACAAAAACCCCTTCTATTGTTAAATGTACAATTCCACTACTAAATAAATCACATTTCACTATTTTGCCCCTACAAGAAACAAATAAGATTCATCAAAATAATGCAGCACTTCACCTGAGAAGGAGGATCGGATAGCGGGGATCTTTTTGGCGATTTTTTCACCCTAAATGTATCACTGAAAATAAAGTTAAAACCATTAATATGGTAATACCAGCAAGAATCAGGTCATTTCACACTTAGCAAGAGACAGCCACAGACAATGCAACCTCTGTAAGCCCTTCTGCTTTAAAATTCCATCCATACGCAGCAGCAGCACAGAGAAACATGCCATAGGTACGTATTCTTGTCATGCACTTGGAACAAGGCCTCAGTTCACCCAAAAGCTGAGAAAACCAGAATTGCCATATTTTCAGTGCTAACGAGCGACACAGTTACAGAACCGAGCTGCTGCTCGATTGCAATTCCAATCCCTGCTCCACCACAGACATCCTCAGTGGCCTTAAGCTAATTATTTAGCTTCTGCCTGCTTCAGTTTCCCATCTGAAAATTAGGTCTAAACCACACCTTTAAATGAGAATTAAAACTGTGATAAAGCTGGGCAGTAATCTCTAACGACCCCATAAATCATTAAGAAAAAACCTGGTATGCTTTGGATGAACTACTTAAAAAGAGCTGAGGCAGATGCTGTTCGCAAGATGACAGAACAAAGCTCTATCGTTACAAATGTGCACAACAGACCCTCTTTAAAACAAATACAACAGCAGATATGGCAATTCTGCTTCCAGTTCCCCTGACAGCTCACAGTGCAGACTGGGGGCATGGACGCTGTAGCCCTTCCAAATCCCACAGGTCTCAATTGGGCAAAAGCAATGAAGAACATACATTATGTCTTGGGGTATAATAATGAATGTCACCTTTCTGTTTATTCACAATTAGTTAAAAATATTTTCTAGCAAGAAAACAAATCAATTCTCTGCCTTTTCTCTTGATTCATACTGGCAGTTATTCAAACACATTTATGTTACTAACTAGAAGAAGGAGAAAATATCACAGCAAAGTCACCGATAGAGAGCTAATGTTTGAACCGAGATGCAGTGGCAAAACTTCCTGCCCACCAGCTCATCCTTGATCAATGATGGCAAATTAGAAATTTTGATAGAAATTACAATTGTGGGTTTCAATCGGTACAGGGTAAATCAATACCACGTCTGCAGGCGAAAATAAATTGGACAGCTGAATATTGGTGTGTTCAGTGCTGTTAATAACCTAGTTATGACGCTAGAAGTAATTAGGATAATGTATTCCTATAGGAAGGAGAAACACTTTATGCAGTATTCATGAAAGTGATTGTACAATGTTGTTTTGCAATGGTAGGAATAAAACTTTCATAAGGATACAAAATTTATACAGTTTTTAAAAGGGGATGTTCTTTGATAGGCAAACAGATAATGAGGCAAGAGATTCCTCAAACTCATTCACAGCCAGGCATCTTACTTAAAATAGCTTTTGTACGTGCCAGTGAAGGGAAACAGTTAACATAAAAGCTTCATGCTGAGTGATAGCTGCTCATGCTGAAAAATAAATAAATTAAAAAGCCAGCGAATCAAAGAGGAAACTCAAAGTGTTAGCTTAGAGTTACTTACAACAGAGAACATACAGACATCACATCTTCTACCATCCTAAGACAAATAAGACAGAAAAGAGAGACAGACAGAAGGAACTGACAAAAAAGACAAACCTACAAATACTCCGCTAATGTTAATGTGTTAGGGCAATCTGATCATGCATATTTTCTACCTGTATAACTTTAACACTTACTTTTTATTGTGAAATACATGGGGAGAAAAAAATATTAATCAAGTCCTTTAATGTTTTCAAATTCAATGTTATACTTTTGACATGCTTTCATCTTACAAAACACATCTATCAAAGCTGAGGTCTCTGAGTCAAGTTCCTATCAACATACCAACCACCCTTGCCCTCCCTGATGGTAGCCACCTGCTTTCTTTTCAAACCATAGTACTCGTTATTACATGGGATGTAAAACTGTTCTTGAATGGCAGCTAAGCTGAAGGAAAGAGCCGTTATGCAAGGTTTCTTCATGTCTGCTGATTTGTTATGACAGTACAGAAAAAGCTACTTGACCATTTCAAACCATTTGCCTAAATCAAGAAAGAAAATGACATTTCTGTAAGTCTCATCTATTTTGGCTCTCACTGAAACCTCACTTTGTGTTCTGACAGAACGAACTGATTGCCCCAAAACCAGAAGCACAGCTTGCCAAACCATCAAGGCTAAGGTTTCAACTACTCATAAGCTCGGCAGCTTCCACTCTGCTCTCCTCATGTGCAATGCTCTTGAAAGCTGGTACGTTGCGTTTCTAAACACAGCCTCCAATCATCCCACAGTTGCAAGAGCAATGTATACACAAGCCACGTATTTTTACTCATCACTATAAGCAGGCACTCGGGAGGCATCAGCTGCTCTTGGTTTGGTATCATCTGAGCAAGATGATCATCTCAAAACTGCTTGGCACTAAGTTATACATCCAGAGAGCAATTTGTGTCGAGCTGACTTCTGATCTAAAAATCTAATTTTTTTCAAGTGGAGGACAATGCTTAAGACTGCTGCAGGTTTCATTCCAGAATATAAACTTACTATTTTTATTAACACAGGTAAGACTTAGTGTACGGCACAGACTCAAAGTAGTACAAGTTTAGCAATGATTTAAAGGCATGCCTGGCTTCTTCTGTATGTCTAATCTAGAAATCGCTGCCTTTTTGTATGGGGAACGCATTTGCAAACTGGTCCATAGAGCTTTATTTTTGCATTCCTCAATAGGGCAACAAAAACCTCTGGCTTTGCAAAATTATCCATTAATTCGGTTTTAGAAGTCCTGGCATATTACAGTATCATTTCATACTTAAAACACCCTCCTTTCTACCCATTGCAGCTGAAACATCTTGCACGGGCTTCTTTCTCCCATCCCACAAGAGAGTACCACCAAGGGGGGTTCTACACCCCACCCCATCTCCCTGCCAGGCCAGAGGCTCCCCTGCGCTGGACCTCATGGAGGAGTCATGCCAAGGGTCCTTTCCGTGGACAGGAGAGACCAGAGACAGGCAGAAGCAAATAGAGCCCCGGCATTCCCCAACTAGTCTTAGGCTAATCTTTTTCTAGAAAGAATTATGGCTGCAGGCTGCACTACAACGCGGTAAAGGTAGTCCCAAGCAAGGGCTGGGAATTCCTGCAAACCTCCTAACCTAAGAACCTGTAAGTCCCACTCCAGGGTAGCTTCACTTCTTCCATCATGATGAAGACCAGCAGTGAACTTTGTGAGTGTAGGACAGGGCCTTCCCACGATGGATTTTCCCAAGGATGAGTGTGGTTTAGCAAACTCTTTGCAAACTCATATTGCCCATAAATGCACAACTTTGGAATTCATTCTAATATTCACAGCAGATGGGTGGACCCCAGAGGTTTATACTGGAGGGTCTGTCAACTCCACTGCGGCCACTGGAAGACACAGGGAGGCTCTGGCTGGCTGCAAATACTAGACTGAAGGATCTGGTGATAATAAAGTTCCCCTCTCTCCTTCTGCACTTCCCCAATAAGATTCAAATCATTCCTCTCTTGCCATCGGACTTTTAAAAGTTTTATTGGTTTGGACCAAGCCAGTTTGGACTGCAGGCTTGGAAAATGTGTCAGTTTAGCATGCGTCTTAATGCCCACCTTAATTACCACTAAATTTCAGGCATAGCTCAAAAAGAAGCAACATCAGAAAAAAACAGGCTCCTTCTTCAAAAAACAACTCAACTACACAATGGTCTATACTTTCCATTAGTCCGAAAAAAATGGCACAAGCTTCCTCAAATCTGGCAAGGGATGTAAATTAGAAGCCAAGAGGGCAACAGGGTAATTCAGAAAAAACTGAATAATCTCCATCTCGCTCTGTAAGGGAGGTCATCTTTTGTACTGTTTTACATTAACCATGTCATCTTCAAATTGCCAGGTTTTTAAAATTTATTAGTAACAGTTTCCTTAGCTAGCTGAAACATTTAAACCATAATGGGATTTGCACTGAGGTACTTTCATATAGATGCACACAGGATATCAATTTCAGATAAAAGGGATATAAACTTGCTGATTACCAACTGAAAATAACCGTGTCTGAACAGATAAGGTAATGTGAATGCCAGCAAGTTAAACATGGAATCAATGCAACTAGACATTGAGGTTTTTAAACAAATATCTAAATACAAAAAGCTAGAAAATTTATCCTGCAATTTGTCAGCTGTGTCTAAAAGCTGGATATTTCCCTAACGTGTAGCAGTCTAGATTTAAATGCTTCTGCAGAATTGTAAGCTCTTTCACAGAAAGGAAACTTTTTACACTTTTATTACTGTATTTAAAAAATATATATTTCAATACTGCACTCTTCTGTTTCAGGTTATTTTCTTTTAAATACCACTAAGTCATTGGATAAAACCATCCTCCTGCTGTGTGCAATAGTAGATTTGTCATAGCCTTACTGTTTCACATCCCATGCTCAAAACCTATAATTCATAAAATAGTCTTTACTGCTGTGAATATTTTGATTCCCTTAAACAGCAGCAAATTCCCATGATGACATCACAGAAAATTTGGCACAAATTTGATAAAATTTGGACTTAGTCAGATTCAAAGTTACACGGAGCCCCAAGACTTCAAAAATCCAATTGCCAGACCAGTGGTCTAATCTGGCTTGATGTAGCCCTGGTTCTCCCCTTTGGTCTGGAAATAGCAAGCTATTGAGGAAGCAGGTTGAGGGAGAGCACATACAGATCCCTGGCATGAGTCCAGTTGTGTGGCTACCAATGCTCAATGGCATCTTCCTTCCTCTATTCAAATCTAAACCAGTTGTAATCGAGCTAAGGGGTGGGAATGTGCTGCTTCTAATCTAGAAACAGCTGTGCCCTTTAACTTACGTCTTTAGTGGCGTCTTCTTCTTTTTTGCAGGTTTATTCAAGTTGTCTCCTTCAGTTCCGTTTGTTTCATTGGCACTGGCTGGTATCTCAAAGGAAGCTGGAGATTTAGAGGGTGAGTTGGCTATCTTAGAAGAAGACTTGAAAGGGTCAATAGAGTCCTCACACATGTCCGGCTCAAAACTGTACGTTTGTTGAGGCAGTTTGGGCGATTCTTGCATTTTTGTACTAGATGAGAAGGGGTTAAAATTGGGATCATCCCACTTGTCAATATCAAAAGTGTAAGAGCCTTTTGTGATAGGGATTTCATTTGGATCAATGGGTGACTTGGTCGGAGTGGTTGGAGCATTGTCAATCTTCTCCACTGACTTTTTAGTCTTTGGCCTCCGTAGTGGCATTTTAGCACCAGGCTTTTTACCTGCTTTTTTGGGAGGAGGAGTGCTCTCCTGCTGGTCTTCACTCACCCCTTTTTCTTCAGAATAATCAAACTCCAGCCTCACGGCAATGCCTTTGACTGGAGGATCTTCTTGTCCTCCAGTGTCAGGCGGAGTCACCTCCACAGCCTCCGGTGCCGTTGTAAGAGGTAGCGTTTTCTTATTGGCAGGGGGAGAGTTTTGTACTTTGCCGCCTCCCGTGCTAAACGCACTAATCCCTTCAAAACTGTCTGGATCCAAAGGGTAGGATCCTTCAGGCACAGGTGGGGCCTCCTGTTTCTCAGCAGAGATTTTAGAAGGTTCAGTATGTTCGGGCTTTACTGAGTCAGCCTTTGCTTCAGATACTGTTTTATCCTCACCTGAGGCACAAGCTGCTTGGCCAAGGTCAGATGGTTCTTGCGGTGTTTCCTTCACCGGTGGAGCATCAAGAGATTTTTTTGCAGGCTGCTTCTTTTTTAAGGAAGCTGGTCTGGTCTTCTTTGTTCTCTTAAGGGTACTAGAAGCACTACTTGAACCAGTACTGTACGCATCTGCTGCCGGTGTTAATGTCTCGCTGTTGCCAAGGTAAGATGCTCCATCAAAATCACTAGCTTGCAAGCTAAGAGATCGAGACAACGTAGATTTGGAAACTGGGAGTGAATCAGTAGATTTTCTTCGAACATTCGCTTTGGGATCACGATTCTTCGATTCTGGAGAGCTCGGTCCTAAGGCATGGAGAGAATCAACCAACTCAATGTTATCAAAGTCCAAGTTGTAAGTTCCACTGCTGGCTATTGGCTTGTCCTCATCGAAGACGGTGGAAAAAGAATGGGAAGGGGGACGGAAAGGGCTTTCTTCAGCTGCTTCACTGTGTGATACATCCGTTACAGGTACAGCTTCTGAACATAAAACTGTGGGAAAAAAAAGAAAACTCAGTGAATTTTAAACACTTCTTTAAAACTGAAGCTTAATAAATTTTACTATAGTCTAATATTACTACAAGTAAAAAATTAAAGGGTTAAAAACATACCTAGGCAGTGACTAAAGGACATACCAACCAAAGCAGATTTTCTCACATATCAACTAAATTAGGGGAAAAAATTAGTTCTATTCTCCCCAGAAAAGGATTTAAGGCAAGTTTCATACAAACACAAAATTATATACTTCCAAAAGCCTCTAGAGTATCTCTTCTAAAGTAATTATCACTTAGTTAAAGAGATGGATTTTATGATAACGTACTAAAAATGCCAAATACCAGAAAATCTGAACATCGAGCACTTTTTACTACTACAAAATGAGTTCACAGAACTGTGTCAGAGCTCTAATGTAGTAAATTCCCCGTAAATTGACTGGTGCTTCAGCAATTACATGTTGATCTTAAGTTTTGTTTCCCATGTGCTATTTTTACCAGCTTCCCAGAGGAACATGGCTTCCTCTCCACAACCCATCAATGCTGCTCCTCGCTCTGCCCCAAGCAGTCAATACACTCCACTTTGACCTTGTAATTCCACGTTTATAATGAGTCATGAATCACTGAGAATTTCATATTAAATAAATTATGGTAAAGGAAAGCAAATTAGCCAATTAGAGTACTGTACAAATATTCTCAGTTGAAAATCTTCCTTAAAAAAAACTGCTAGGAGCTCCCTAGAGATTATTTAAAATAGATTTCTCAAAGTGTAGTTTTACCTCATGGATGAAAAAAAAATTTTATAGAGAGAATTATACACCAAAACTGTTCAACTGAGCAGCTTTTCATTGTAAAAATTTGCTTATTGAATTGAACCCTTAAAAGTTCTCTAGAAGTCTCTTGACTTGGGATATAACAACTATATTGGACAAAGTAGAAAAATACACAGTGCATATAAAAAATACAGAAAATATGTACGTAGGAAAGGATTAAGATGATGGTCCTTTCTGCCTTCCAGTTCTGAAAAGTTCATTCCTAAAATGTTTTACAAATTCTGAATACGTTTTTTTCCTGCTGTCATTGTATTGCTCCCTATCTGAATGTAACACAGTCACCTTTGCCTATGTGTGCATGTCCTAGTCAGGGCACTGGGGACCTGGGAAATTTCTCTCCAGCTGACAGTTCAAGCTGGGGTAAGCCAGCTGCTCAGAGCTCTCACTGGTACGTGCTGGAGCAAAACACCCCAGTGCTTCTTATTGAAGCAACACAGCATTCTTCATATTGTCAATTTTTTAAATTACGCGATTATAAAGAAAAACAGTCATGCAAAAATGAATGCTCTTCTCATCCTTAAATGACTTCAGAGAAATTTCTCCACATCTTTTTCATTCCAATCCTGACATGTTTTGCAAAGTAATTCCCATTTTGCCCAGCTACATTCATTAACGTTGTTCATGAAAGCAATATAGAGAAACAATAATTACTTTTAGTCAGGAGTTATGAATGGATTAAGAACAGAAAAAAAAATTTTTTCCTTTGTTTCAGAGTAAATTACATGTCTGCACAGAGATTACAAGAACTATCATTTATGGATGTAGAGGACAGAAAGGATTTAAGGAAATGGGACACATTTCCCAAAGCAATACCTTGGAGTGCCACCATGTATTTCCAGAGATTGTCAAAGGAACGACAGCTACACAGTTTCTCTTTTAAGACTGTGGAAGTTTACTGAGTTACATCAATTAAAAATGGTATTTTAATGCGCTTTTCTGCTAAATGCATGCTAATAATGTGGCAGCACTTCAGGGCAGTTCATTTTTCTCCTTAATCTCCGCTGGGTTGGGCTTGGTTTCAGCCTGGCTGAGAGGTCATTAATTAGTCTGGATTCGCCAGCTGAGCTGGGGCTCACTTCACACACACATCACCTTCTGACACCGATGGGACTTCTGCTAAGGGGACTCAGAGGGTGCCATAAAACTCCAGCATTAGACTGATCTGTACATTTTACACTGACACGGGAATGGAATACATTACAATAAACGCTCCGATAGCTCTAATATGTCAGCAGAGTACAAATGTAGGCCAGCGTGAAATAAAAGGAGAATCTGAGCAAGAAAACTTCCGCGATTCTGTGTTGTTTTCATTCCAGAGAGCCCCAAAGACCTCTACAGCATTGAGGCCCCTTGTTCAAAGTCAGTACAAACATGCATTAAAAAAAAAAAATTAAAAAATAAACTCAATGCCCCGCAGGAGTTGGATTGTAAATGACAGGCGTGGTAGAGCTGAGGGTAGGGATGCATCACAGCAGCAAAGAGCGTGTGTATGAGGCTTTCCAGCTACTCAGAGCAAAGCAGCATCCAAAACTGGTGTGCTTCACTTAGTGCAGAGCTTTAATCTCCTTTAATTGCTTATTTCACAACTTCCTCCTAATAACAACTTTACTTGGAGTATAGATTTCTGCAGAGTGTCACTTGACTTGCTACTGTGATATTTTTATTGCCTCTTTATGAAACAATATGTGAAACTGTCTCAGAAAACATGGCTTTTGGTAGAACTGAAATGCTGCTGTTCAGCTCTCCTGGCACTGCAACAGAACTGGCTTAGTACCAGTGACTGCAGAAAGGCCAGAGGAGAAGAGAGGAACGGTGCTCCCTATTGCAAACCAGCACGGCTTTACAACTACAAAGTGATATGAAGACCATGCTTTCCTGACATTAACAGCATATCCAGAGCAGTGCCATTTGTCCTTTTACAGCGTGGAATTAAGCAAATCAGTATTACTAATTACAGTATTCTATTCAAATGCAAGTGCATCGCAAAGGAACACACTCCAACACAAGCCACAAAAATTAAGGCAGGACTTGCCCTCCAGAGAGGCCAGCACAAGGTTTTAAATAAGGTTTGTGCCTTTTATTGCCATCGACAGTCACCCACAAATTACACTGGTAAGCGCTGCCCACAGGTGGATATTAAGTTTTATAAACCATTCCAAGAACATGAGCGATAGCAGGGAAACTTACGCTGCCATAAAACACAGGCAGTCCCTCAAAGAATCTTCCCCTTGCCCTCCAGAGAGGCCAGCACAAGGTTTTAAATAAGGTTTGTGCCTTTTATTGCCATCGACAGTCACCCACAAATTACACTGGTAAGCGCTGCCCACAGGTGGATATTAAGTTTTATAAACCATTCCAAGAACATGAGCGATAGCAGGGAAACTTACGCTGCCATAAAACACAGGCAGTCCCTCAAAGAATCTTCCCATGTCACTCATTAAAAAGAAATCCAAGTTCTGCTTTTTCCACCAGGGAATTTATCTGATTTCAGACAATTTTTGCCTGGACCAGGTATGAAAAACAAAAACAATCCCAAAAGCAACAACAACAAACCCCAGACTTCTTGTATCCAGGTGATGAGACCTCTCAATGAGAAATCAATCAATGCTCGCAATTTCACCTGTCACCTATTACAGCAGAAGCAAAAGCTGCCAGAAAAATATAAGACTGTTTACATTAATAAGCAAAACAAATTTCTGTTGTTAGTATCAACAAAAAGAAATTTAAAAAAAAATCAAAAAGCGTTTCTACTCAACTATAAATTTTGCACATTACAAAATACCAAGATTCTGATGGCACTTCAGATGCCGGTAAAGCTTCAATGTCCCACAAGGACAGCGAGGTAGACATACACCTCGCTTAACTCAGCCTTCTTTAAATAAAGATCCATAAATGAGCTGAACAGGGACAAATCCCACACATGTGCTCTGAACTGTCCACTGATGAGGATATCAAATTTTAATTAAATAGCTACCGCTGCTTTATACTGGATATGTAAAGATAGGAGGCATTCACAACTTAAGGTTTGTTTTAAAGATATTTTAAAGGAGAAAATGAAATATCTGCACCAGCTTTGAGCTTATTGAATTTAAACCTGAACTGTTTCTTTATGAATAATGAAAATACACTACATTAGAATATATAAAGTACTTCTAGGTATTTTTCCCTTTCAATTACAACAAATTCTTCTGGAGGGGGAGCTGTGCTCTGCACAGGTTGAGCATTTGGTTCTATGCTGACGTATCTCTAAAACAGGGGGAAATCCAACAGGTTGAAAACAGAAGGCCTTAACACTGCTGAGCTGGAAACCAAATGAAACACTATTTTGAAAGGCTTAGAAACAAAATTTGACCAGATCTAATAAACCAAATATGGTTTCTAATTCTGTTTTCTAGAGAAAACCAAAGAGAAACCCTTGGAAAATGCATACAGCATGCACTCACACACTCCATCATAATGAAGTAACTCAGGAGACAAGTACACTTTGCCCATAGGATAGAGGAATTGGAATTACCTAATACTAGAAATTCCGAAACAGTTTATCTCAAGTTCCTGCTTGTTATGAGAAGCCTTTGAAGTTATGAAATCAATTAGTAATGCTATATTAAAAAATATTGTAAAAATATTTTCATCATTTATTCTGAGAGAAAACTTTGGATATGAAGTTTATTTTCAATTGGTTAGGCTTCAAAAGAAAAAAAAAAAACACTGAAGAACAATGTCGCCTTGCCTAGGCAGGAATTCCTGGCCAGAAACAGGCAGTATTTGGGAGAAAGGGACTGGGACGCTTTCCGGTGCTCAGATGGCTGGAACAAGGGACAAGAGGACACTGCTATGAAAAGCTGATGAAACAGGTAACAATAATACAATAATTTTAAATTATGTCAAAATAATAAATTAAAAAAAAAAAAAAAAAGGCACACTCAAAGTCATTTGCCTGAAGAGTATAACCACAATACAGTATTTAGGGAGGAATGGAAGGGCACACTAGTGACACTTTCTGGGGTTTGGGGGCAGTTTCCACACATGCTGTGTTACTCCCCTTCCCCTCCAGATGTGCCCGTAGACTGACTCCCCTCTTCTGCTCTGCTGCTGATGGACTGGAGCCATGCAGCAGGTTTTAGCCCACCAGGAGCTGGCACAAACCCAGGATGAGTCTAGCTATATTTCACTTTCATCATATTTATTAAGCTAGCGTTGAAGTCAACCTAATTAAAACTTGGCTTTCCAGCAGCGGGGTCCAGCTGTTGCGCTAATGATATCATGCAGCACAACTGCAGCCATCTGCAGAAGTAATTATTGTCAGATATAGATGAAATAATCCTTTAAACACTTATCATGCTTCCTCCTTCCATGCAAACACACGCTCCATCATCAACCTCATGCAGAAGACAAAGCCACGCAGCTGGTGAACCAGAAACCCAGCTGGACGTCGCTGCCTCTCCCTGTACGCGTGCCAGGCTCTCCGGTTGCCCATATTCCTTACCCCTCTTTTATGGAAACCTATTTATTTAGCTGTATGGTACCAACGAGGAACAGTGGGTGTCCCTTACACCCAAGTGAGGGACTCATCCTCTTTATGTGCAGTCCCCATGAGATAAACGACAAGATACCGCTTGTTACTCAAGCGGTTTATAAAGTACAAAATGTTGAACTGTTCGCATTTCTGAAGAAGCATGGAAACACCTAAACTATAGTCTTAGTATTATTAATTTCTTCTAAAGATCTCAGAAACAAATGAATGCTTTGTGTTGCCTTCCTACATTTGAATTTTTTCTGCATTACACATCTTCCTTCCCTCACAGAAAACTACCCTGTCGTGTAACTGGATTTTGCATAATTTTGGAATGCTGAACACAGCTCTGGTAGTTTGTGGTAACTTGCCTCCCATAGACAAATCTTATTTGCAAAAGAAAGGTTTTCATCTCTGCCATGCAATGGCCTTCGATATTGTTCACTCCAGCTATGAATAGGTATATTCAGTTTCTTACCTTTCTTCAGAAATATCGGAAAGAAAGGAGGGGAAGATCTGGGATGCAGGGAGACAAGAATCACATGTGCCAGGGAAGCACATGTGTAATCAAGGGTTTGAAGATAATCTACTGCAGTAATTAAAGCCACACTCCAATCCTGTTTAGCATATGCGTTCTTTTGTTCTCTCCGCACTTACTTTGTAATCACTAGATTACAAAAGACTACAAAAAGCAAAGATGGAGAATGAGTAATGTTTTCTATAAAGAAGAGGGAACTCTAACAGCAGAAAAGAAAAAGTGTCAGGATGTCTCAGTATTTAATTTTTATTTTGTGGAATCAGTTTGTTGAACATCCTTCTAGCTTCTTATAAACTCGTATCACAAATCATGATCTTAAAGAGCATTCCTTAATGCATAAGTCCCAGAAATGCGTTAGGTGGCCTGAGACATTTGCAAGACTCATCTGTCACTTTCCCAAAGGTTTAAATCAAAGCTTGGCAGCCTCTATAGCACACACGCCAGCCATGGACATGGCCTTTGCCCACTGCTCAACGCCCCTGCTCCTACAGTGGAAATGGAAGCTCTAAAACACTGCCTGGCAACGCTGTATATCTTTCCAGATGAAATACAAGCAAACTTTAGTCGGCTTAGAGTAAAATCACCTCTACACAATTTAGCCAGGTGACCAAGATGACTTGACTTTCAGATGGGAAAAAAGTCAGCCTAATGGGGAATTCGGTCTTAAACTGTTGAGCTGTCATCTGACAGCCCAAACAAAGCTATTTTTGGCTAATAGAATGCTTTCTACTCCCTCATATTCAATTTCTCAATTTGGAGAACAAAGAACACTTTTCTGGGGGAAGGGATTTCTTTGGTTTTTTTAAACACAACATTCCCCCTTTAAAGGTTATTTTCCTGGTATGTACTAATTTTTATACATACTTATACTAATATTATACACACTTTCACACATACTCCCATGTTCCTCCTATAAAGCTAACATAAATATTTCTATTGTTCTAATGGGCTTTTTGTTCACCACCTGTTTCAGGTAACAATACATTAAAAAATATCATTTTGTTAATTGTCACAGTTAACGATGCTCACCCAGGCACCTACACCTGTATCTCATACCTCCTTTCTCTACTCATCCAACTCTGTCAAGATCCTGCAAATCTGAGAAGAGGGAACAAAGTTTGATTCAAAAGGAAGAAAGGTTTTTCTAGAAAGCTCTTCTTCTTTTTATTATGGACAGATTCTCTAATACTTTATTCCAGGAGGAGACAGGGGTTCTCCTCCCAGCATGGATGATGCCCAGCATACACTAACTAACCTTCCAGAAAACATTGTATTAGCATCAGTTCCTTGCCTGTGCTTACACAAACACCTCCCTGCAGCTTCACCTTCCTCGGTAACCTGTCCCACTCATTGCATGCTTGTTACCTGTGTCTTCCAAGGGCACCTGGGGTTTTATTTCTTGTTCTGCTATATCTGCTACAACTGCTGCTGCCGCTGCCGCTTCGGGGGGTGGCTGCGGAGGTGAAGGTGGTGCCTTTACCGGTGTGGTGGACTCCGGGGTCTCAAATGCTTCTTCAGAGTCAGAGCTCCTGGGGAAAATCAAATGAGAGACTAGTGAGCAGAGTGAAGATTCATGCTTGCAGGTCTACTTAGAAATGCAGGGCTTTCTGAGCTGATGGCATCGACCTCAGCTATCAGGCTACCTCTGCATTTCCCAGAGGAGATGTTACATTGCAGTGCGGTTTCAAGAGCAGGATATCATGGCTACAGCCTTCTCCATATATAAGTCTTTATGTAATTTAAGACTTCTTTGTGTTACAAAAGCAAAAACACCCTTGGAAATAAATCCATCCTGCAAATCCTGCTTTCCAATGAAAGGTGGCTGGATCACACAGACACCACCACTGACATCTCTGCGTTAGTCTCAGAAACTGTCCTTGGCTCAAGTGTAGCTAGATCAACTAAAAAAAAAGGGAAAAAAAAGAAAAGGATCTTCTCAAGACAATTTCATAGATTCATCCAAACACCTGCTTTCAGCAGAATTTTACCATCACTCTTTTTGAACAGTAAACATACAGGTTTGTTACACAAGGTGAGACAACCTGTAAAATGCACCAGAGCTCTGGTATTGTCACTAATCCTTTTCTAGCACTGTGTGCTCACACAGACACAAAAACCGTAGGGACCACAATGGGTCGGTGCCAGCCTGGCAAGGAAACAGCAGCACCCAAAATGGAGCCATCCGAATGAAACACGAGCTTGAAGGGCAGAAGGTGTCCAAAATGATAGGTAACCTGAACATGAAGATCCAAACCACACAATGATACACCATTTGCTCCCAAGGCAGCACAGCCTTATGAAACAGTCCTTCCAGATCAGAAAACTATAGATCTTATTTATTCTTAAACCAAACTGAGACCAAATATTAGCTTTTAAACATTTCTTCATTAAGGCTTTTTTTGGGGGGAGCAAGGAGTGCCGTACCAATGGTGTCATATTCAATATGCACTGAACATATGTTCAGTAGACGTTCAGTCAGCATTTCTGTTGGTCAGATGCAGAGTTTTACTGCTGGTCTATAATAAAATGAATTAAATTGGACAGTTTCCTAAAGGACAGGACAGATTTGCCTGTTCCCAGCGACTCTGTGCGTCGCTGTAGCCTCCACTGCTCCTCACGGCTGTCCACACCCCATACGTCCGTGCAACGGGGACAAAATTTGCCATGAAACAAAAGCCACTTCATCCCCTAGAAGCACCCTACAAGCCATTCTGAACCAAGGCCTCCTCTCATTTTATTCAAGTTAAAAGACAACTTTGAGCTGCCAGATTCTGTTTGGTTTCCTGAAGCTCGTGATTATTTTAAGCAGCTTGATGTCAGAAGTACAAGTACAGGATTTGCATTCGATTACATTTGCCTAAATCTATCACAGCATGAAGTGTTTGGCGAGCTGGATAAGAAAAGACCCTGGTGTCACCCCGGACAGCTTGAGGAGCACAGTGGGCATAGAAACAGAAAATCATTGAGGTTGGAAAAGATGTGATTCTCCCCAGCTGCCTCCGCAGAATTCCCATCAGAGCTCCCACCTCCTCGCGCACCATCAGGGCACGCGCCGCAGCCCAGCACCGACGCCTGTCTTTCCCATGGGAGAGTGCAAAGCAAAAGGATTTCTACTAGTTAATAGCTTTGGATGTTTACCCTACTTGGAGATTTTTGGAGATTTTTTTTTTTCTCCCCAAAGTTATGTTGCTGCCTGGGGTACTGCTCAAAAATCTTGTGGGTTTTGATTTTACCTTTTGCTGCAGCCCCTCTAAATACCTTTTTCGTGTCATTGCTTAAACCATAGTCACTCATCAGGCCACAGAACAGATAAACTTGAAGAGTCAGGCTGCAGCATTTTAAACTGTATCCCTTCAAAGATGAACCATGTTTTAAGTTCAAAATATTTTAAGCTTAAGAACAGCTGCAAAAAAAGAGCTTCTGTACATAAAGCTGCACAATAGGTATTCAACAAAATAATATTTTCTCTTCCTTCCACAGAGCTGGCTCAGGAAACTTTTTAAGTTGAAAAATCAAACAGAAACAGTGTTGTTTAATATTTTCCCAGTAGAGAAATGTTTCTTGTGTCATAAAAATAAATCTAGAAAGTTATCATCTAAACCAACGAAATGAAAGGCAATTCATCTCCCTCAGGCTTTCACGTATTTCTGCACTGTGCTGGACTTAATTAATGCTTTACTCTCTTCATTTCAAACCCAAAGTGTTGCTCTGTAATACTGAAACAATAATGGTTGGATACGTTTAGACCCCTTTTTTCCAACATGCAGTAAATATATAGACATATGTAATAGAACTGAATTGGTAAAAAATCTGTTTTTATGTCCTACTTATATTTGTAACTGCTTTGTAAAAACTGCCTTGATGGAGCAGTTCTGCGTCCTCCTTCTTTAAATGATGGAAAGATTCTGTGCATGTTTATCTCCCTTTTAAAGAAGCTACCCTTGTTTAGTTGGCCTCTTCCTTGGATGAGGTAGGCACAAGCATTTGAAGTAGCTTTGTTTTGCCAATATTTAATAATCCCCAAAAGATTCTGATGCAATACTCCTGATTTTCAGCTGCAGCACTCCATAGGCAGCACTGTAATCAAGCAAAAACTGTCACAACCATGATCCAAATGCTGATGAGATTGTTATGAGAAGCAATCATGCTGGCGCAATACAGTATTTAACAAAGAAATACGAAGGGAAGCTCAATACCAGAAAAATGTTCTTTGTCATAGCCTGGGACCTGGGAGAGAGCATAAAGCCTGGAAGCACATACCAGGACTATGCTCCAAGGTCTACATCACATATGTCCTGGAAAAAAATGAAATCCGGAGTTGAATCAGTTCTGTTTTCCGATGATCTCTCTCGCATAGCATGTTTTTAAGACTATAGTCCTACTTTCAAGCTGTAAGAAAAGGTTTTCCCAGAACAACAGGATTTCCTGTGAAAAGGAAATTACATATTTCAGCCAGTTCTATTCATAATGTCTTTTCTCTGAGAAATACAGAGAATACGCAGAACAAAAAAAAAAAAAAAAAAAAAACAAAAAAAACTGCTGCCTTAAAGTTCAGGGTGTAAAAGAGATTGCCAAATTGTGATATGCCGTGAGAATCAGCACGAGTTCAAAGCTCCGCCGGGAGCAGCCACCACGGATCCAGCTGTGGGCAGGCTCTCACGACAGGAAGAGTCCTTGTACCATGTAGAATATTACCCTGAAGATCCAGCCAAGGATGAAGCAGGGTGAGATGGGATGCATGGGTTTTAGAGACTCATTGGGGGGCTTCAGCTCATAAGGTTGTGGAGATGGAGTCTGAGTCTGCAGCACTAGTTTGTGGGGCAGCGATGGACTAAAAGCTACAGGAGGGAACGTACATTTCCATGTCCTTTTAGCCAGCTTGGGAAATTAGGAGGGGCTTGCCTTGACAGCATATTTCATATCTTTCCATCTATATCCTTTGGGTTTTGTACATAAAGGGCAAATTTATAGACTGTAGAAGATACAAAATTATTAGATGACAGTAATTGAGTGCAAAATGACTAGAAATATTCTTCTAGTCCCTCTCTTTAAACTCATTTCTTGAAAAGACACCAGTAACAGTAAATGTAACACATAGAGATGGGGGAGAGAAGCAGGGGAAAACCAAGGAATGCAAAAATTGTACAAGACCAGTCCAACTCTGGGAACACCGCATCAGCTTGCAGAGCAGGAGCACTACCACTCTCATCTGGAAACTTTGAGGTCTTGCCCAGCCTGCTACATAAATCTCTGGAGGAAACAGGGAATTTACTAGGGTTGACCTCTCTCCTTCACCTTTGGCCTTGTGGGAATCCAGCCTCATAAGTTACATTATCTTTTTTGTAAACCACAGATGCTTATAATTTCAAGTCCTCCCCGATTTCAGAATGAAAAATTGCCTTTTTGTCGCTGTAGCTGGAAAGCACTCAGTAAGCAAGAACAGGATTTCTTCATTCCGCTGCCTCTCCTCAGTGTTTGCCCTCTTCAGGCAGGACAGCCGCCAAAGCGAGGTCACCCCAGTTGTCACCTGGAAACCTTACAGATCTATTGGTGCGCAATACGGACAGTCTGAGGGGAATGGGTGTATGATACTTTGAAGTTCTGAACCCAGGAGCTGGAGCTGCATTATCGAGAAGTGCTGCCTGTGCTGGGAGTGGAGGATGGAGCCAGAGAAGCTGCTCTCCACCAGCCGTGGTTGTGGAATCACAAGTAACAACATCAAGAGCAGCTTCAGGGGGATCTCTTCATCAACGCTAAGCTGAACAACCTCTGTCCACCTGTCTTTAAATTTGTACATTTTCTTCCAAACTTTGCATTTAGGAAAAAGTACATTAAATTTGCTCTTTAGTGGAACCTGTCCCACATTAACTGACGTCTCATACTCGTCAGTGATATCACTAATGCCCAGATAGAAGTTCATAAACTCATCCTTCTTGGTGGTAGTCAGACAAACCTCTATCCACTAATTGTTTTGTCTCTATGTACCTTTGTTTTATTGACATCAGACCAGAGGTGACAATTTCATTCTCGTGGTGTATTTGGAAATTTGACATACCAGGAGGGCAGGATGGGGAAGTCAGGTAATCTTACAACATGCACACAACAAGAACAAAACCCAACTGTGCTCCATTGCCATCCAAGAGTCATTGGAGGGTAACGAAACAAAAGCAAGGACCCCAAATGTTTACTGGGGAGCCGTTGTTTTCTTTCCTTCTGTTTACGTGACATTGAATAACTGACAATCTCTTATAATCCATCTTGTGGTACCACTCATGCTGCAGCTACACAACTCTGTAACACAGACATACACACAATCTTTCCTCTTTTTTTTTGTTCTTCAGACTCTTACAGCTCTGGATCAGAATTCAACACCACCAAGAGAGCCCAAACGGTAATTCCTTTCCTGGAGATCAAGTTACCAGTTTAGGCCAGTAGCCACTAGGTGACCTGAGGGTCTACTCACAAGGACCATGAATATTCTATAGCTACAACAAAAGTAATTTTTTTTTTTCATCCCAGCACTAGCTTG